AAATTTTAAAATAAATATCATCTTTAATTGAATAAATAATTCAACCATAAGGCAATCACCCAAAATTTGACAGCATATAACAGGGCTCGAGCAATATAATAATCATTTGAAGTATTGTGGGTATTTTCGTTCAGTGTAGAACTAAAGCTAGAATGATATTTGATTTTTTTAACTGCTTCTATTGTAATCCCCGTACAAAATTTAAAGCATTTACGTGACATCCAAACATTCACCAATCTTTACCAATTTGTCATTGAAAGATTTCACGTGAAATTGACAAAACTATGCTAGACATTGTCAATGGACAAATTTATTCTCACATAATCCTTCTTCAAAATCTCATTCATGTTTTTTTGTTAATAAAAAAGATTCACCTGGTTACAAAAAGTTTAATTTCGTGCATCCTTTTTCGCCTTATTGTTTTCCAGGAAGTTAAAGACGTTGATACTTGTTCTCTTTGTCGGCTTCATGGATTTATTTTGCTTAATTTAATTAATTTCGTCACGCTCGTATGTGTCAGTCTCAGAGCACCTAAATTTACATGTTTTTTCTAAGTGTGTATCTCATTACCTTTGATTGGTATAGATGAGCCCGACATAAGAGGTAAAATATCAAAAAATAAATGTTCCCACAATACCATTCCAATACCAAATTATGATAACGCAATGCCAAAACAATACCACACAGGTATTCTTTTGGTATCCAAATATCAATTTGGATATTTGCAAAGTATTTTGCATGTAATTTTTTGGTATTATTTTTTGGTACCCGAGCAGGAGAAAATAACGAATGAATACCTAATTCTGACCTGATACCAAAATGTGGTATTGACCAGCAAGACATAAGAGTATCCCTTAAAGATCTTTAGTTCGAGTCATGTAAGGTTGACATTTTACCTTACTGGCACATACTAATATTTTGGAGTTATGAATCTGGTTGGTGGCGTTTAAGATTGGAAATACTTTTAACAGAATGAAGCACCCTAACCTACAAACATATTATCGCCTTTATGCAGAGGAGAGTAATAAGGCTGATGAGCTTGAAGGAGAAGTAGGAAGTGGTCTCAGCGGTGATGTCACCCCAGAAAAACAAGATGGTTGGCTGAGCAGGAAGATATTATCCTTATCAGAGGCGACAGTATTTACTTAGAGCATTGATGTGCGGGATTTTACTCTCCTTGAAGTTGTTGGCTTGTATCTCGACTTAGAAAGACCGAAACCTCAATCGGATGTGTTTCTGTGTGTCTCCCGGTCGTGGCCATGCTCTCGAATTTCCGTCTATAAATCGGTACCAACAACTTCAAAGCGACCAGTTCCAACTCGGTCTTGATTGGTGCGCCTCGAGGAGATGAGAGTTTGTGTTCGAGACAAGGGAATAATGGTTTACGGCTGCTGTGAAGCTTACTCACGCTTAATTTCCCACGGTTGAAGCGAAAAGTGGTTTGCCTCATTTGCCAGTTTATGCCGAGCAGAGATGTGGCAATGATGTGAAACTGCGTTGAGTGGTTTTTCTAATCAATCTACATCGTATTGATCAAGACAGAAGAAAGCCTACCGTTTCCCATCAATCTTGTGACTATCAGCCTATCGGCGGAGAAAAAAAACCAAACCGAATCTCTTTTAGAACACTCAAGCAGCATCCCGTCTTTGTGGCTGTCTATTTTTATTTCACTGAAGTTACGTGCTTTGATTTAGCGTATAAAGTTAGATTAAAATTTCCGGCGGCGGTTTTCTTTCGCTGAGAAAGCATGCTCATCGAATCATTCACTGTTGACTGAGCTTCGAAATCGGAGGATCTTATTTTAGAGCCTTGCAAAGCCATTTACTTATGGTTCATTTTTTCCTTAAAAAAACTCGTTAGATCTTGTAGGTGAAATAATATCACGGTAATGATAACGAACACGATTCTTGCAAAGCTGTGATGATGCGATTATAAAATTAAAAAAAAAACATTGCGATGTCATTTGATGTTTCCAAAAAAATCACCTACGCCAAGGGTGCCGAAAGTCCTTGGCAATTACCAGAGCCGTTTTTTCATGGCGGGTGAGATTTTCACAGCTCTCTTTTTGAATAAAAGAAAACCGAAACAATCACAGCATTCACTTACATCAGTGATTTTTTGGGTGGTATACGAAAATGTATAAAGTCCATAAAAGCATTGCAGTTCAATCCGGGAAAAAACAGCAAGCCGAAAAATACGCTACTGAAAATTTATTTCTCCGCAGGCTCTGGATGATGGGAAAACGATTCACGATATCTGCTGAACAAAACATGTGATATTTAGTGCACAATGCAGAATGCCGATAGTTTACAATCGATTCTAATGAATAACTCATTTCTTCACCCTTATGGTACTGTTATGTTTTAATGGGCAGTATACCGACAAATAGATCATATGCCGTGAGAGTTCGATTGAGGCAACAGATATTTTTAGACTAATTCAGTTGATCACGGCTGTCTTGCAATGAGCACTCATACAGAGGATTTCAAGTGAAAACTAGATGTATAAGTGCTTATTGAAAGACAGCCTATATTTCATGATATAAGCCATAGTCTTTACCTGTACGGGGTATAAGAAAAGTATTTAATAAGGTTTGTAGACTTTAGGGAGATCAAAGTGTGCTCTGCTCCTGTGGTGACACGAAAAATTTCCGATAGTAAAATTTTGGGTTTTATTTGTTTGGATTTGGATTTTTTCCATCCCGTTTTAGCTCGATACAATGTGTTATTCGAAAACATAGTTCTAGAAGCGAAATTTAGTGCAAAGCAAATGCAAGAGATCGGATGATATGCATTCCAAAGTGTTTTTTAATCGGCATCCTTATCGTCAGAATTGCTACCAAGTGATTGGCAGGCTGGCCCGATGTTTCAGATTAGAGAAAAAAAACTCACTTTTAGTTAATTATTTAGCTGGGAACTATGTCAGGAAACATGGGTAGCCAACCTTACCCCGCATGATTTTTCTCTCTCAAATTTTAGTCTGTTTTTGATTCGTGATAAAACATTATCAAATCATAAAGAAATTTTCTGAAAACCAATGGAAGTACTCTAAAGATCAATAATCACTCAATTTATCGCGGAAATTTTACACAGTTTTACTTAAATCTTACTTAAACACTGAAAATGTATTTTCGTTATTTCTCTGAAAACCGTTTCGTAAAAATGAATATCGTACATACAACACATCTTTCATAAATGGTACGAAACAATCGTTTTTCCTGTCATCTGGCGCAATGTCAATATTACGCCTTATTCGTATAATATACAAATACATCTTCGTACAATCAAACCAACAACTGCGCTCATTGTCTCCTAAAGTGCTGATTGTGTGTTGGAGATGGGATATTTTTTTTTTGACGTAGGACTACGTCTTTGATTTCTATATGGGGGTACAGTTTGTGAAAACCGAAAATGGAACATGTAACAAATTAAGAAAGATTTTGAACGTTATTAACTCAGCTGCCCCTGGTCCAATTTCAATAATTTTATCACCAATCGATCAGAAATATGGCTACGCATCGATAACAATGCTTCCGAATGTTGATTTTCAACAAGAAACTATTGAAAAACTGGTAAATGTCCAGCATTGTTCAAAAGTGTCGCATTAAATAACAAATCCACCAATTACCTACATGCATATGCTGCTTCCCCAGCACAGTCGTCAGAGAGTAGTAAGTAGACGAAACAAGTCGAAGTGGCATTCGCCTCCGATCCTCGGGCGCGTGCGAATAGGGAGGATGGAATTGCGTAATATGTTGCACACTCATCGCCATACTCAGAACCACATGCTCCCAACGACCACACCACTGTGTGGTGGTGTTCGGTCGTGAAAATTAGTAGCAGCAGTAGTAGTGCTTTCGGCGTGTGGCGTTGAAAATTGTACTCCAGTAATAAGGAAAGGCTGCCTGCAAGCAGCGAGCTGCAGAGCCCACATCAGCAAGCATCAAAGGAGGAAGAAGCTGCACCGCTATACTATGGATGGGAATCAGTAGCTCTTCGTGAGTCGCTGCGGGTCGGTCATCTATGCCAAGCGTGTCGTATGTTAGAGAAAAAATACATGCAAGCAGCAGAAAAAGCAAGCGAAATCTAAGTACCGCTCCATGAGTGCTTCATATTTGCCTTTAGCTTTACTATTTCTCATAACACAGATAAAGCAATAGATAAAGTACGAAACTAACGATCGCAATGTTCATGAGTCGAATCCGGTCTAAAGCCTATTTTTATTTTTTTGTCATATTTATTCCTTCCAATGATGAAGTTATTTTTACCCATCCTCACTAACACATTCCAAATTTTTCGATCTCTACAACCAACACTTGGTTGGGTGTAGCGATAGCGAGTGTGACAGTTCTAACGAAACTAGCTTCATACAATGTACAAATCCATTTCGTTGCAGAAAACAGCGAAAAAATTCGTAGAACAAATGAGCGATTTCGTTGTATAAACTAAATTTTATTTTCAGTGATCCGTAGGGTAGCGACTTACACCGTCGTCCTCTAATGAAGCAGAGAACCACACATTTTGGGATACAGTCGATACATATGGGGGCTGACAGGTTGTGAATGGATTGTAAAAATTAAACATCGCTTCTTGACTCAGGCTCAGCCTTTAACGGAACCGTTCATCACCTTTCGATTCTACCGTTTATTCTCATAATATGAGTCATTTTTCCCCACTGTGCAGTGGAACCAAGAATCTCATTGCACCCCAAACGATGCGGGTGTATTACATGCACTAATGAGATACGGCTTGAACTATTTCCTAGGAAACAAGATTTCACCATTGCTCAGGATTGCTTCCAAGTAAATCCGACTCTTAGCAATTCCGGTCCACGCAGCGTAGGATACACCACGAACTCAAGAAAATGTAGGTCGTCCGTACATACTCGGTTCGTATCAATGGTATGCATATCTTTCGGATTTGCCATTCAAATTAGGATGATAATCTAGAAGCTTCAGTGGCACGTATGTATATAGGCCCCGTTACCCAAGTGCTACTTACCAGTGGCAATCAGGATGCAATAGCAGGATAGTAATCCCAGTAATCCTCCTATTCGTGTTTCCATCGTCCTTGCTGCTACTGCCTCCGGTGACTGGCGCGGTACACTTTTTCTATGTTTCAATGCTCGACCCACCAAGAGAGAGTGACACACTGATACACAAAAAATAAAAGTAGCACTGCGTCGATGGTGATCCCTTTTTTACGACCCAAGGCCTTCACCGGATTGCGAGCAAGGCTCGTACGTCTACTGGGAATTTAGAACCGTGGATTTTTTTTTATTATTTGGTGCTTCGCACTGTTTTTTTTTTGCTTCACTTCCGAGCCGACGATTTGACGTGGTGGTTATTTTTTTTATTAGATGATGGTGTATGTGTTTCTGGTCTGATAATGTATGCACTAAAACAACTTTTATTCCGCTAGAGGGTACCAACCAGTAAGCTTCGGATAGATTCGACCGAACCAACCTACCAGCGAATGGTCAAACTCATCAGCAGAGCACGTTTTTCCATAGTTAGGCCTCAAATTCTTTCCGCAGCAGTTGCATCGACAACAGCTCTTGCGGGTTGCACGCTGCGCATCTAAGCTTCAATTCAGCACTCATCATTCAAAGCCGTTGGAAGGCCCACAGTGAACCGCATGTTGTACACCGGATGAAGTTACTGCAGTTGAAGCGAATAAATTTATATACCACAACTTTTTCCACTTTCAACAAACTATGCTCGTCACTGTTCCGCTGCAGGGGTATGACATCAACTATATGAATGAAGCATCGCTAGATATACACACATTCACTCACTCACTGCATGCATATTCAGAAAATTTGCACAGCGTTCCCTGTTCCGTAGATCGTTGTTTTCACACTAGTTTAATTATTCATCAATCACTTCACTTCACTTCCTGACAGGTCGAAAGCACTTCAATCAGTAGGGTGGATTTATTCCTTGAAGTTTTCCAAAGTGAATCAGCAAATGCGCCGTTCGTTATGATTGGTTTCACAGCAGCATCCGGGGACACCTGGGGAAGAAAATTGTATCTATTATTTCGATGAATTCAGCCTACCGAGCTATTTTGCCCAACGCACAATCATATAACCCTAATACTTAAACATCTGCACTACCGTAGTTGGGGGTGAAATTGGGCCAAATAATCAAACATTGTCGTTCCTTACCTTACAACATTCGCGTTTTAGCAAGGAAAACAATTTTTAGCATGTTAATATATTCATTATTGATATATTTACGACTTTCATTGAAATGGTTGATTGAAATTGATATCACATTTGACTAAATTTAAATTTAAAAAATAGACTAATGTAAAACTTTAAGAGGGGTGAAATATTTTAAAATATGTAAATGTAACGTAGCTATAAGGAGTACACTACTTCTAAAGTATGGCTAACGGTCGAGTGTTACCCTCGTCTATTCACCCAATAGTGTGTTCAAACTTTTTTTACCTGTGGACATTTTTAAAAGGGAGTTTTTGCTACAATGGTTTACACTTAATTTTGCAGTACTATTTAAATAAAACAACTGATTATTTGACGTTAAGCATCTCCAACTATGTAACTGGTTAATGTTATCTACATCATTTCAAGGAAGTTCAAGGAACATATTTTAATAAACATTTTCCAATGTTTGCCCAATGACACCCCGTCTTACGGTACTCAAGATGAAGAAATACAGCAAACCATATGAAAATTCAGCTAGTAAATAGGAAGAGCAACTTTGAGGTAACGATAATATTAGCTTTAATAGTTATGCTTCATACATCTCCTCAACATGGTACGGTTCATACACTTCACTTTCTGGATGAGTTTTATCTTCGTTAATATGAATACATCATCACAGTTCGACAGAAGATTATGTTAGCTTGCGTCTGAAACAACACACTCAATGGAAATTTCATTTGCAGTCGGGTTATTCGTGAAAGAGAAAATCGATGAAGAGAATCGATCAACAATGATAGGCCCTTTTCTTGTGTTGCGCGAGAATTCATCAAATGAAATGAAAGGGTTTCCCAGCTAGTATGATAAATTTGCTAGGGGCCTCCCTTACCTTAGTCGGTAGAGACGAAGCTATAAATCAAGATCATGCTGGAGGTGGCTGAGTTCAATTCCTGGTCCAGTCTAGGAATTTTTCGGGTTTTTCGGAGGACACATGGATAGATTTCTGGAGGAAAATTATTAAGGAATATTAATCTACCCATGGGATTTACCTGAACATATATAAATAGGAAATACGATGTAAATAAATATGAGTTAAGGTGATCATCGTTTAGAATGGACACTCCGTCATATATCACACCCCATAGGAGCCGGAGGAATTAGGAATTTTCTTCAGAACTACACAATCGGTTTCGTTACACATGTAACCGTTCAGGTTGAACAATAAATAAAATATAAATATTCTTATAGCGTTAGGGTTAGCGTTGTTATGATATACTTCGTAGATTGGATACTAGCGACACTCACGTCTCTTCTGAAATTCTCAGTTAGACTACTTTCAGGAATAATGCTGGGGAGTAAACATTGGTTCCAATCTAAACAAGAGTAACAGAAGCGCCCATCTTTACCATAACTAGAGATAGGGAAGGAAATGTTGATGTAGTACTTACTTAACGAGAGGCCACCGACTTAGCGACACCCTCATAAGTGCTACGGAGTTGGAGGATTGAGTAGGGTTTTCGGTTAGGATTCACCTCAAGTTGGCGATGCAACTAAAAGTTTGTATTGTTTATTTGTTGTTTATTTAATCTCTCGATAGCCCGCTATCGAAAGAACATATTCATTTTGTTTAGTGATCATGCATTTTAAGAGTCATGACGGAGAGCTTGGGATTAAACGCATGATTTTCTGCTCAGTAGGCAAAAACGATCCCTCCAGGGTCATCGAGCATCTCAGAACCATAACGCTTCGCGACAATACAGGACTATGTTTTCGCTTGATATGCAAATAGTTTCCGAGGTTAATGTTCAATATCAAATATACAAATGATGGTGGCGATTTATTGTGCTGTGGAAGAGCTTGGAGTTAAATCCATGATTTTCTGCTCAGTAAGCAAAATCGATCCCTCCAGGGTCATCGAGCATCTCATAATCCACAGCGCACAAGAAGAGGCCAAAAAGCAAGCGTCCGATACACAAAACCCGCCAGATCCACTTGCAGTCACAATCAATGATTCTACGAATCGCGAGTGCTCACGAATCATAAAACCGCTGACTGCGACACTCTGAAAGCGAAATTGACAGGCTCTATGCGTGAGAGGGTCGTTTTGATCACATCAGGGAAGATCACAAAATCTCAAGATCACTCAGAAATCACTCTGCAGAAGACCCGAGAAACACAGATAATTTAGGAAAACTTCAGCATACTTCGCAAATTAAGGGGAAGCTTACTGACCCGAAAATTAAAAAATATTTTCGGTGCGTTTTTATTTTTCTAAATAAATTGGGAAAAATCATCAAAAATCCAAGAAAATCAGTTTTTTCTTAGATTTTTGTCAAAACTACATGTAAAAATATTTTTTCTGTCTCATCATGAAAAAAATGGACTCTCAGCAAAACCGAAAAGTCGATGTTTTGTGGTTTTTTGAGTCCATCTTTATGCCATAATGACTTATAAAAAATGTTTTTGCACGTGAATTTTCTTTGAAAAATTAGAAAAAATGTGATTTTTTTAGATGTTTTTATGCCTTTTTCCAACATTTTTAGCAAAATCCAAATGAAATTATTTTTTTCGGAGCAGTGAACTTCCCCTTAATATTATCTTTATAGGAGAGACTTCCGGCGTTAGGTTAGTTCGTCCCAAACAACATCAGCCAAGTTTTGAAATGTTCGGGCAGTTTCATTATTTTAATCTACAATCCAAGTACTGGATGGAGGATCAGAGATCTACAGAGTAGTTCCATTAATTGCAGTAACTAACAAGAAGTTCCGAAGAAAAATATTGAAAAATCTTAGAAATTCAGAAATGTTGCAAAAATTTCAGCATTATTGTGGGGTTTTAAGGGAACTTCCATGGATATCATGAACCATTTTGGAACGTTATAGAACTTCCATAGTCCAACTTCCAAGCAAGTCCATAAACTTCAGAGATTTTTTGAGATGTAAAGGGAAGTTCCATGGCTTTCAAATAAATTATGAAAACTTCAGGAAAGTTTTATGAACTTTGGTACACATCCAATAACTTCAAGGAAGTCCAATTTACTTCAATGAAATTTAAGGAACTTTTGAAATTTTTTGCGGAATTCATGGAAGTCTAGAGAACTTTATTGAAGTTCAGATATTTTAAGGGCAGTCCCATAAACTTCAGTGAAGCATCGGTAACCTCAGAAAAATGTAGACTTTCGGAGAAGTTGTAAATTCTTGAAGAATTAGTAATTTTGATTGGGATTTTTAATTTTCAATATAAAGTGCTGATTGCAGTTTTATCATCTCCAACGAGGGTCCATGCGTTGGGATCTTCATCAGGGCTAGATTTAGTATTAAGTAAAGCATTTTGCGCTGAACGAATGATGGTACAACATTATATTTTCTAAATAATTTTAAAGTTCGTTCACATTTCCATCACTAACACGTACCGTTCCATCATTCACTACATTACATCCGCACAGGCAGTCCCTTATAACGTCACACCGTTTATGCTTCCTATGAAAAATAGCATCGGATCGTCGACGCAAAGTGAACGAACACGGCTAGGCCAAAGCCCCACTAAAGCATGACCTGGTTTCGATAGCCATAAATGGAGCTTCCTAGTAGTTTTACGTTCCCTAAGTACGTTCCCTTGAAGCACCAGCAAAAGTAAACCATCACTCGTCGAATGTAACATATCACACGACAAACATGTACCGTTAGACGGAATACTGGCTACCACCGACCAACCGACCGACCAGTGCAATCTGCTAAATCATCACGGTCAGTATATCGAACGGTACCGTTCATAGAGCTGCACCTGAAAGTGGACAACAGAAACACATTCACATCGGGTAGCTTCAGTGACAAATAGCAAACAACATCAATTTATTACATTCCAATATGGCAACCGTTCGTCAAGCACTCTGAGTAGGATGCATAACTGTGAAGGCACCAACCAGATTAACTTTCAAATCCATCAGATTCACTATGCTGTGCTGTGTAAGAAGACGGTCCTCGTGTGTTAAAATTCAAAAATTTGTGAATGACGTGCAAACAAATGTTTTCAATGATCGAATATGTTAACGATATTTCTAAAGCTAGGTTAGTTAGAACCGGTAATTTTTTTTTTTTATTAAAGAAATTTTTAGCCATAGGCTAGTTCATCTCTTGTAGAACCGGTAATTGCATTCCATTAGTTTTATTTCCCGTGCCGATAATTTAATTCGATTGAATATGTTTTTGCAAATGTTTTGTTCTCGTGTTCTGATGGTGATTGGTGTGCTCTTGCATTTCCCTTTGATACCCGGTGTGACCTCGACCACGCTGAAATATTGTTCGGACACTGCGATGAACAAGGCCTTTGTTCACGGAGTATACCAACTAACATTTTCAGCTTTATAAGCCACCTTTTCCAGCGTAAAGTAGCCTTAAAAAGCTACAAATATAGCTAAAAGCAGGAGCTAGCAATATAACTTTGGAGAGTGTTTACTCAATTTTTTCACAACCATTTTTCAATTTGTCAATCGCACTAAATGACAGCAGCCAAGAAACGCTAATATCACTTCTGTACACATATCAATCAACTTTCAACTATTTAGCTTTAAACTTTTTATTGAATAGTCGAGAAAACGTTGAGTAAGCGTCTGTCAAGTCCCAATTTCCAAAAGTAGCTGACTTAGTTCGCCCGATTTGCTTCTATTATAAGTTGCGAAAATTTGCCTCATATTGAATAGCATTTTAATACATCTTGAGCAAAGCGTTTATTTACATTACAAAAAATGTTAGCTGGGGTGGTGTTAAAGAATAGAAGATCATGTTTGAGCTATGCCTTTAGGTGATCGGAGTGAATGACCGGTATTGGTGATGAAAGTGCCAGCCAAGCA